TCTTTTAGGGAGAAAGTGAGATATTTTCCAATTACGCTATTTACAATCACAATGGCACCAAAATAAATTTAAAGTTGCACAAAATAAAATATATATATGTTGAGGCATGTCCAGTTGTGGTTAAGAGGTATACCTTTCGAGTTGAGTTCACCTTCTGGGGAGGCCTTTTTCTTTTTAATTCCTCATTGGCTACTGCTTGTAAGTCACCAAAACTTGATGAATGTTTTAGCATAGATACAGATGCGGAAATCATCCTATTCTTTTTTGCCCAAACACAAATTTATTAGTCAGAAAGATATGCTACCTTCAAGTGGCCTCTTTTGTTGCATTTGGTTTCCATACATGTAACGCATGTGTAAATGTTTTAAAGCTAAATATTAGAGAATCTGCTTGAATCACATGTTATGGGATTGGTTAAGTTATTTCATTTTTTTATAAAACTGGTGAGTTAAAAAAAGGGTGAAGTAAATAAAAATGCAAAATTGAAAGTAATTTAACCGTTATTCAAATGATATTCTGTTTTTCTCTACTACGAAAAAAGGCTCTAAAGAATTTCCTTATTTCTTTTTTTGCATAAACTCAAAGTCATTGTTCAGATAGGTAAAACCTACTTTAAGTCTGTAAAACTACTTTGCTGATAGAAATACAAAAGCAAAGAAGGATGCTAGTTATTTGCAGAATTAGGGATGTAACGAGTCGTGATTTGGCCGAGTATCTGGTAATTCTTCAAACTTTGCTTTTCTATTTGTATTTCAGAATACAAACCACATGATTCAGAACTTAAATATATGTTAAAATTATTTCTCTTAATACATAGTAAAAAAAATAGTAAATACATAGTAAAAAAAAAAAAATACATAGTAAAAATACTTCTTGCTGTTGAAAATATCTTAAATTATATATATTTTTTGCAATAAAACACAAGTTTCAAGTGAGAAAAAATCCAAACAGCATGCTTCTCTAAGACAAGGTGTGGGGTTTTGTAGGGTTGCTTTACTTTTGATTCTCTAGAATCTCGCCAAAAAACATTTACACGGGTGTCTGTAAACTGATCAGTGTGACTTTTGAAAAGAGAATGAGAGGAGGTCTTCGTAGGGAACCCCCACCCCGGGGCTTGACCTTCAAACCTTAAGCTTTCGTTATCCATATCAAGCAGAGAAGAAATTTATAACTTATGTGTTGCGATAGCATAAAATGTCTCATTCGGAAAATCTTCAATACAAAAATAAGCAACTTCATTTACCAATTAAAGAGCAAAATAGTTTTTTTTAAACTAGAATTATTTCATTTTAAAAAGTTTTATTTTAAATTCAATTTTTTAATAGCAAATTAGACTAAAATAAACATTAAAATTTTCTCCCTTTCAATTTTGCTTTATAGTTAAATTTATCATATAATTTAATTCAAGACTTACATAGCACTCTAATTAAAGTGGAAAATAGTACAAGAATCACAGCATAGTTTAAAAAAAGTTATCAATTTTTTCTGCTACTAAATCAATTTAATGTTCAAATCAAAAGACATTTAAAAAAATTACTCATTTCCCAGTAACTATTGAATAATGAAAGAAACATAACTTGCAGTGGCAACACAAAATAATAAACACACATTTAATAATTTTCAATGCTGATTTAGAAAAAATGTTTCCTATGCAGATTTCTTGCAACAAATTTTTTGGGGGAGTTAACAACTATAAGTATGTGTAAAATGTTTTAAGTCTCTGGAGTTAGTGGAAGAACCCTGTTTGAAAGATAAAAAGAACGTTAAGAGTACCGAAATTTCGACTTTTATCGAGTTGAAATATTAGTAGAGTTTCCAATTTATAATTCAAGATACAGAATCTCAATATTTCAGAAAAGGCATAATTGTTTCGATGAAATAAAATTATTTTGTAATTAGGACTTATTAGGGGAGATCTTTAAATCATGAACAAGTGAAAAATAAAGCGGTATTTCTTGCTGCCTATAAATGACAATTTTCATGCTACAAAAGAAAATCATTTTCATACCTCCCTTTTAATTAGTAGAACTCTTTTAAAATTAGTCAAGTAGAATTCTGATAATAATAATTAATGCTAATAATAACTTTTTCAAAAACATGCCTTAGTAGATAAAATACACATCATGCACATATTTCACTAATAAAATTATTTTTAGATTGTGACATGATTTATACCTTAACTGCAGCAAATGATTTGCCTACAGTTCATCAGCCTCCACAGTCCGACTTTTGGAATGATTCTAAATGTGCATCATACACTCACAAACAACAGTTTTTCGTCATAGATTATTTGTAAGCATCCTTTTGTTTTTCTACTGGGAGGCTCCGTTACCTGTTCGTTTCGCTCATCAGCCCCTGTAGTTGCTTGTCATTCATGATTGTAGATTAAAAGCGGAGAAGTGTTTAGGTCCCCCTTTCTTTAATAAAATTACTATTGTATTGCCATTAGTTGTATTTTGAAGATTACTCAGTTTAGCAAATAAAAACAAGGAAAAAATCGGTTCTCGCAGAGAGCTAATACACAATAAAGATGCAGTTTCTGCCCGTGCAAAAATTTTTTCTTCATCTCAGAATCAGAAGCAGTGGTTCCCCTTGTTCTGAAAAGCTGATTAAAAATCATTTTGTTTGTAAAATATATAACTATTATAATTTTCGCATAAGCATATTTTATTTTAAGAATCCTAACAAAAATTAGATGATAGCTGATTTGAAAATAATCAAATGTACTTGAATAAATAAATAAATTAAGAACAAAATGTGCGAGACAATAGCAATTAAAACAAGAAATAATTTTTCTTGTTAATAATATATCTTATTAGATCTTATATGATATACCCGATCATATTTGAAACTATTTTTATCTCTCTTTTTTCCTAATATTTTTTAAAACGTCTATATAAATGTTAAGATTTATATTTGGCAATATTTGTTAAATTTTTTTTCTTTTTTTTTGTAAATTTTTATGTCAAGGGAAGTTTGAAGTTATGAAAATCGCGTAAGAGATAAATTTTTCTACATTCCAATGGATGAATTTCCAATGGAAAAATATTTATCAAATAGGGAAAAAATCTTTAAGCAAAAAAAAAAAAAAGAAAAAAAGAAGTATTAAATTTGGTCCTTTCAGCATGCCAAATTTCAACTTAGTTGCATTCCTGTTACAAATTCTCAAATTAACTATCGAGTGTAAATTTTTTTCTTCCATTGTAATCCCTGTATAGTTTTCTACACACCTTAGTAATTTAAAGTTCTAAGTGAGCAGAAATGCAAAATGAATAGCAAACGTTAAGTTAAACTCCCAAAACAATTTTCTGATATAGAAAAAAATTTATTACAAATTTATTTGATATAGAGAAAAAGCAAGTATCAAATTCGGTGAGCACGGCCGCCTTTTTTTTTCCAAGTTCATATGAAAGGAAATTTTTAGAATTGGTCAGAGAGCAACTTAATCGATTAGATCAACTTCAACACTATTGTCTCAAGTAAAAATCAGTAAGAGTCAAAAGAAAAGAAAAAAATCAGGTTAACATAAGCATTAATAAAAAAGCAACACACAAAGATCAAGTCAGGCTATAATTTTTGATCTTCTTATACTTGTAGTTGATTGTTTCCCACGATGAATTTTTTTCTTTTTCTTTTCATCAGGGAGTGATTTTAATATTTTTACATGAAATTACCTTAAAGTGGTTTTATATTCCTGTATGGTTAATTTATACATAATTACTGTCCTTTGTCTTAGCATCATTTCTTATATAAATATGAATACTGAAGAAGGAAAAGAATTTAGTGACTTCTTAGGAAACATATTTAGGTTAACTCTTAAACAATTACTGTAAAACAAATAACATTGTTATTGATGAGAATGTTTGCAGGCTTTAATGATACATTTTTATTGGAGTTCTCATTGACAAGTCTGGTAAATCATAGATTGTTCAAAAAACTTGAATGTAAATATTATTCCAAATTATTTATATAAAAACAGATACAAATTTTACCCACTGCCTCCTCGTTGCCCAGACTGGTCAATGATAAAATTATAATAATTAAAATATTTTTAGGAATGAATGCTCTAAAATTAGTAATTTGCAGTTTAAACACTTTTGTATGTGGTAAGAACTAGAACTCTTTTTCTGCACATCTAAAAATGTTAAGTTTTTTATGTATCAATATGAATTCATCAGTATGTATTATTGTAAAGTAATGTCAAAATGAGAATCATACGGATCAATTTTACCCAATGCAATTTTAGGAATAAAAAAAATTTGTATGCATATTAGTGTGTCCGTCATGATATTTAAATATTGATTACTAGAAGAAGTACATGCGTTTGTTTTAAAATAAGAATTTGAAATTCTTTTAAATAGGGATGAGCTGTTGGTGGGGTGCAGCTGTAGATCCCCTTTCTGTAGGGTAAAAAGGAAAATTAATGATGTCCGGCTATGCGTTTTTCATCCCTCTCTGTTGGTGGTAGTTCTTGAGAAGCCTTGGGCTTTTTCGGCACTTTGTTTCATTTTCTTATACTTTTACTTTGAATGAAGCTCCCCTAAACATCCATTTCATTTATTACTTCTTTGCTAATGATGCTGATCATTATTATTATTTAACATTTTAATGAAATTACTTTTTTTAAATGGTTTGTGATTAGATTTCCATTAAACTACATATTTTCCTTAAAAAAAGTAAATAAATGAAAAAATAAAAACTCTAACACAAAACTCTCATATTTTGTAGTTTACTCATAAAACAGTTTTAATGTAAGTAATACAGAGTAAAAATCTTTTACAGTTCAAACTGCAATTTAAAAAAATATCAAACAAAAGTGTTTCTACTGGATATGGAAAATTACAGAAGTGAATAAAAAAAATAAGTACAATTATAAACTCAAAATTTTAAAAAAATAATTTTTGATTTACTATTAAGATCTTATTTTTGATAAGTAAGACAACTTTGCTTGATGAGGAGGACTTCAAAATGGAAAGAGCTTCACTTTTATGCTTTATGTAAACCACTTATAGGTATGTACTGTTCAAATTAGTACTACTCTAGCTTATTATTTTTTGCGGTTAATAAAAGGACATAACGATAGAGGCCACACAACATCATTTTACGCTCTTTTCCTTATCTTTCAGCTCCTTATCTAAACAGTCGAAAGTTTGTAAATTACTTAAATCATGGCAAACGACTATTTGAGTCTTTCACAACTATATTGAGATAATAGTACGTTTAGTACGCAATGAAACAAATTAATCAAGTTTCTTCAAATGCTTCAAAAACTTCAAAAATGAGTATAATTTAAATTTTTCATCTAGACATGCATTTCATGCATTTAAATGTCTATTTTTTAGTATATTTACTCAGATACTTCTAAACTGGATTTCATCTTTTTAATTAGAAAAATATTCTGAAAAAAAATTATTAATATATTGTATTTTTATTAAATTTTTCATATGAAAAAATTCATAAGCAGCGGGAGGAAAACTACTAAATTATTGAGCCGAATCCTGAAAGAAATATTTACTATAATACGTTTCCCTCTAAATAAAAAAGCCTTAAGCGAAGATCCCCTCTGCTATTTTTGGGTGTTAATTTTAACTTTACATTTGCTTTGCTGTACAAAAAGTGTAAGATTTAAAAGCTTCAAATTACGAAGGATAAGCGGTGGTGGCTCAGGGGAAAGAACGCTAGCCTACTAATGAGTTTTGAGGATTTGAATCACAAGAATTGCTGGTTGATACGAATTTCGTACCCAGATGACATAAAATATTCAAGTGATAGACGCATCGTGGATTAGAGTACCATTTTGTCTTGTTAACCGTGTCTTGTTCTTCGTGGTTTTCCTCACCATGCCATGGAAATGCGATGCAGATCCAAGAAAAGGTTCTCCACGAAGACAATTCGCTCCCTACACTTTCGTACAGGAGTTCTCTTATTTTTTGGATTAGATTCAAAATTACAAGGATACAAAGTTGAACATTGATAGTCGTAAGCTCAAATTCGGGTCGGCTGTTCAACGACAGTTATAAAATAAAATTACGAAGGATTATAAAAAAATGGCCAGGGAGTGCGATGAAATAGAAAAATTACTATTCTATTATTAGTTTGGAAATTGTTATCTGCAAAATCTGGTGTAAAAAAATACTGTACTAGCTGCTCTGCAGAACACAGAAATGCAAATACTAATTTGAAATTTTACGAGCTGTAAAGGCTAATTTTGTTCATGAACTTAATATCGGTATTCAAATTTGTTCGAAAATTAATTGCAATTTTATTATTGCCTTTTATTTACCTTTTTTTTTCTTCTTCTTTTTACGTTATATTCATTTTGTTTGACAGTGCAAAAACGATAAGATTTATTATTTGAAATTATGATGAGCTGTAGAGAAAATTTAGATTTCGATAGTTAACTTAAAAATTATTAATTGTTAATACAAAATACTATGATTGGTTGATATGTTTGCTAGAAAAGAAAATTTAATAAAAACTACCAAAATATTGTAAAACTTACTTTATTTCTGGCTGTAGGGGAACACCAAAAAGCTCAGTATTTTTTAACGAAGTGGTTTAGTGATGTTTTACGGTAAAAATAACAAAAAATTTAGATTTTTTAATATGAGTTGAAATGCAATAAACGTGGTAAAATTTCGTAATTTTACCATGATAGTTTAGAGCACTGTATAAAAACCATTTATTCAGAAAAATTTATTATTCAGTTTTATATTTTTTACTAAATGTGAGGTTACAAGAGCTATAATTTTGAAAGCTAGAGTATCCGGTAAACTGCTATCATTTTAACAAAAAGATTATCAAATTAATGGTTTAAATACTTGGTTTTATTAAGAGAGTTATGGTTTTGTTTTGAAAAAAATTTATTATCATAGAATGTGGTAATTTAAGCAAAACTTTTTCTTTGCGTAGTAAGCTGAAAGGTAACTTGGTTAAAATTTAATTTGCTGAAATAGTGGATTTATGTGCAAACTTAACAAGAATTTTGTTTTGAAATTCCAAATGTTCGAAAGCAATTGCAAATTTATATAATCATTCGTTATATCTTTCCTTAAGTTTTTTTTTTTTTTTTGCTTTATCAATTGTCATAAAAAAATTTATTTTATAAGCTTGCGCTCAAATTGTTGTCAATCAAAAGTAGCGAAAGACAGTGAGAGAGAGAGAGATTTGTTTGTTGCCTAATATCACTCTTAATATTTATATTGACATTTTTAAAAGCAATAAACTTAATAATTCACGTTAAAACCATTCCCTATTTAAACTTTAATAAGTCTTGTTAACTATTAAAATTACTTCTCATTATTTTTTCCAATTGAATTACACAATCTGTATTCCTTAAGTTAGTTTTTTTTTTTCAAGTAGAGATAATTATTTTTCAAATTTATTAAATCCTCTATTTCATTATGCTTAACAAAATGTTCTTACCTAAAGCTACAATACTTGTATATTTCGAAAAAATTTTTTTTATGTGTTTTGTGAAAAGTGAAAAATATTGCAGCTTAAGGAAGTATATATAAAGAAAAAAATCAATGATGAATGAATGATAAGCAATTCAGGGAGTTGGTGAGCGGAGTAAGAAAAGGGTAAAGCCTGCTAGTTTTTATTTTTGTATAAATGGAATTATTTTTTAACAAAAAATAGACGGGTAATTTTTAACTATGCATTTAATAAAATATTTAAAGTTTCAAATGATAAAGAAAAAACAACTTTTTTTACAAGTTATAGTTATGCAAATAATAGCAAAATAAAAACTGATGTTACTTTAAAAATATTCTACGCCTGTTATAAAACTGTGTGAAAACTAATAATGGATTTTTAAAATCTATGTTGTTGCTTAAACGCAAATAAAATAAAGTTTTAAAGTTAAAGTTACGATTTTTATGTTAAAGAATTTAAAAATTGTGAATTTTAACGCCTTAGAAAGTATAAATCTGCACAGCTAAATAGAATATCATCTGTAAGAAAGTTAAAAGAACATCATTATTCTTATGAAGATAGTTAAAAGAAGTAAGTATTTAGTGGAAAAGTAAAGTAACTTCAAATTCTTGTTTAAAGTATCCAAGGCAATGAATTTGTTGCAGTTGGCTATTTAGGATTTTAAATCTTTGTGATAATTAGCCTTCAACCAAAAATATAATTATTATTTAGTGATATAAGTGAATGATATAAAATAACACAGTCCTCATGCATTCATTCATAAAAAAACATAATATTTTTTTTTCAACGAGGGAAGTAATTTATAAAGACTTTTAGACAAATATATATATATTTTTTTATTAATTTATAATTTTGTAATACTAATATTATATTTTCCACAGCTAGTTCGCTAATGTAAATAAATTTGCCCAATTAAAGATACTTAATTATTTATAAAAAATATTTCATAAAAAGAGAATGTGTTTTTTATATAGTACTAAAACTGTTGAAAAGCTGATGAAAACCAAAAAAATGGTTTATTTACTTAAATGTGTTTAATTATAGCAGCTTTACTGTTCATTATAAAGAAACGATATTCTAATTTACTGCTCCGCGAATCAAAACATATATGTACAGGGGTCTGTTTAGAAGAAATTTGGGTCCGTTAACGGACCCTTCACAAAATATCTTTTCATAAAAACGGACCCTTCACAAAATATTTTAACTTAAAAACGGACCCTTCACAAAGTGATTTTTCTTTTAATCGGACCCTTCACAAATTTGTTTATCTTCATTATTATTTTGTTAATCGAATAAACCCTTCCCAGGGCAGAAAACAAGAAATATGGATGTAAACGAATTAAGTTTTGTCTTCGGCAGACGCTTCTTCCTATATTCGTCCGAAATTAATATTCTGCGTTCAGCAGTATAGGCTAATACCAAATATTTGTATGTTGCATCTCTAATTTAGAAGCAGCAATTGTTGTTTATTTTTTAAAATTTTATTTTTTTAATTATAATTTTACAGTGTTGAGCATAATCTTGTATGTCTTTACAATTTAAAAACTCCTTGAAAAAATTTTTGTTTTGCTATAACGGACCCTATTTGCACAAATTCATAAAAGCGGACCCTGGTTGAAACAATTTCACGAAAAACGGACCTTTCACAAAATGTCTGGACAGACCCCTGATGTAAGTATTATTTCCCAGTTTATATGTATAAAAAATTTGCTTACGAAAAGTACTGAAATGAATTTTGATTTCAATAATTTTTTATTTTAGTAAGCTTGCTTATTGCTAATAGTTAATAAAAGGTTTTAGTGCATATTAGTTTTTTATTATGAGGACCAGAAATAGTTTTTAATAATTCAAAATAGATATTGATTACTGTTTGAAATCACCAGATAAGTATGTTTGAAGTCCTTGAAGTAAAAAGAATGTGGGAGAGAGACGGGAAGGAAGCACATTTTGTCCCTTAACCCCAATTCTAAGAAACATTCTTTTCAAGTAGGGAAAATCTGCCCACTAGGTGGTCCTTGATTGTACAGATTCTTTTGGCGAGAAAGTTTTTTAAAAAAAGGAGATAAATAATCCTTTTTTCAAAACTTTCTCGTCAAATGAATCTTTGCTTAGTCCCTAGTCCCAAAGGGGTCTACTTTCTTCTTTGCAAAAAGAGAGAACTAAACACTTTAAAAGAGCAAGTAAGTAAAATGTTTTTTTCTCTTCAGTTCATGCATTTATTTTATTAATTACATACTTTTTATAATTACTTTTATTCGTTTTAATTGTATTTGTTAAGTTTTTAGAAATTATGTTTTATAACAATAATTTTTCAGTTGGCTATTTCATTTTATGCTCTCCTGTAAGCTGCTAGTTTAGTTTTAAAATGAATTAGAAGATTTTTTTCATAAATAAAAGTTCAATTAACTCTATCTAATAAAAGAAGAATTTATAATTTCTTAGTCATTAATAACAAATGTTTCTTTCATTTTTCAGAAGCATTGCTTAATTTAATAATTTGCTTAATTTCGGTAGCCATTTTTTTTCTTTGAAGGACTGTAAAAAAACATTATTTGAATAATCTAAACCGCGGGTGTCAATTATTGTTTAAAAAAATACTTTTGATTAGATATGAGAAGTAATTTTAAATCATTTTTAAACCACCAAAAAATAAATAAATAAAACAAATATTTATAAACAATTTATTTGTTTTGATCCTCAATATAATATATTTTGTTTACTAGATAAATGAATAACAAAATGACATATTAAATAGAGGGACCTTATTTCTAATTTTTATTTTGTTGTTTTTATCTTTTTTTTGCATTTAATGAGTTGCTGTAAAGGTATAAAAACGTTTCAAATCTTTATATTAAGTTTCATTTTACAATTAAATTTGTTATAAAATGAATTAATTTGTTATAAAACTAATTTAAGTTAAAATTAAGGTTCAATTTTTTTGAATTGAAATTAGAATATTATTTCATGGTTATTGTTTTAATTTACTATTTTGAGTTTTTATCTGTTTTTATATAGTTGTTAATTCTAAAATATACCTGTTCAGCCTTGACATATTTTCTACAATAAAGTAACTTTAATTAATTGTCTAATTAAAATTTAATTTATGATAATAACTGTGTAGATGAAATATATAATCCAGAAATTGTTGGAAACTTTCCTCACAAATTCAGGAAATTTTATTTCTAAAATTTAGTGGGAGCCCTGAATAACAAAAGCTTTATTTAGAATTTCTCTATTTATTTTAATTCTAATTGGCTCCCATGTCTTATTTTTTTCATACATATCTTATTCTTTTTCTAAATTAGAATCAAAAAATTTTTTCACTTTAAAAACAACTTCATTATGTTAGAAAAATATTTAACTTGTTATTATTTTGCAATTTTATTATAATATTATTAAATATTTAGTAGTTCACATATTTTATCCAACTTCAAAAAACGATGCATAATAAGTTAAAATTTCAAGTCTAATTATTTACTTTAGATTTAGACCTGTCCTCTAAATTTTTCCCTACAATTCCCGACTAAATTTTATAGTCTTTTCCAATGATAATTATTTTTAATCAAAATCATTAGTTTATGCTAAAATACAATATGCATTGAGCATAAAAAAGATATTTGTTAAGCATTCAACTTATTGTCAGTTACTAAAAATAAAAATATTTGCCTTAATTTTAATACATGATCTTTCTCCTTCATTTAAATCAAAATTAATTTCATTTAAGTAAAAAAAATTGTTTTTAACAAAAATTATAAAATATAAGAAACAGTTTTGATTTTGTTGATTTTTAACTGTTTTTATGGCGATCATATTCTAATTAATTCCTTTTCTTTTATGGAAAGACAGGATGAAAGATCCAAGAAATGCCAATCCAGTAGTCAACAGAAAAGAGGGTAAGAACATATAGTGAAACATTATTTTGTCTCAGTGACATGAATTTTATCCCATATTTTGTGAAATAGGGTTACCCGGGGTAATTCACGATCACTCTGCTTCTGGGGAAAATAATGATCACCTAAGTTTTATTTACAAAAATATAAATATATTTTTTTAATTTGAGACATGGACAAGAATGCTTGTACACTTTCCTAAAGTATAACTACATTTACTTAATAATAGTTTTTTGTTTAATCTAACAATAAGTATCTTTTAAACTGCTTTTTGTATTTTCCATTTCAAAGATGGGTTTTAAAATGTGTACATTTCTGCAAAGATCCTCCTCCTTCTCTTAATAATAAATATTTTGAGTTACTTTCTTTTTCTTTGACATAAAAGTAGTGTAAGCTTTTGTTTAATTGTTTCATATCTACTGTAAACATTATAATTGATTATAGGAAACTCTATCAAATGTTGCCCCTTATAGATGGGGTAATTATTGATCACTGGGGTAATTCCTGATCATTGTCATTTCTTCTTATAAATAGTATAAAAAATTGCTAATAAATAGCTAATTGACTTTTCTTAAATAACAGTTCATATTTATTAAGTGGGGCAACTATAAAATATATTTTAACTGTAATCACAAAATTTGTTTTTAACTGTATACAAGACAAATGAGTTCTGATTTTCACCATTTCTGGTTTGTCTTAACTTGCTTCTATCTTAATTTTATGCGTGTGCATTGATAGAATAATTTTTAAGTTTATAAATTAGCCTAATATAAATAAAAATATAATATAATTAGCCTAAATATAATATATATAATATAATTAGCCTAAAAAGGATACTTGCTTTTAGAAAGCAAAATTAGTGATTTTCTTTTAATGATTGAAAATAAAATTTTCTGTCCGTCAGCTGTTGACAAACCTTACTTAACTTTATACTTAGGATACAGAGGGGAACATTAATAGTCGTAAACCCAAAAATTGAGTCTGCTGTACAATGACGGTTATATAAATATGTATATACTCTTCATTTTAATTATTTAATTAGGGGCGTGAACAACTCGCTCTCTAGCTGTGAGTCAATCACTACACACCTAACGTGTCACGATAATTTTTAGAAGAACAAAACAATTATTTTTGGTCTAATTTTCATTAATACACATTTTAATAGCAAGCGTAAAAAGAGAAAATTTCCTCTGATCTTAACTATGCTTAAAAGGAGTCTTATAAATCTACATAGAAAAACAGTTACCATTACTACAGCTTCGGCCACACTAGTCAAAACATCAGGCCCCGTGAATGGAAAAGTATCTTTTGTTCAGTCAGGGCAAACAGTAGGACTTTAAAGCATTTGTCAGGTCCAACATTTTTCAGCAACTGAATAAAAGAAGCACCCCTTAAAAGAACAAAATTAAAAATGTGCAGATAAAAAGCTGAATATTTAGTAAGCCTAGGAGATAAAAATAAATAACTAATAAAGTATGCAATTAAAATTATAATTGTTTTTACAATGTTAAATTGAAGACATGTTAAATAATATTCTAAGTGAAATTTATTGAGTTAGGGAATTTAAGTACTTGGGTTCAGTTGTCACTGAAAGCAATGATATTATGCCAGAGATTAAGCAAAGACTAAATGCTAGAAATTGCAGTTATTTTGCACTTAAGAGATTGCTAACATCAAAAGTAATAACGAGACTTCAGGTTTATAAAACTATAATCAGACCAACCTTTATCTATGGATCAGAGACATTTACTCCAACCCAGAAACAAGAAAAAATGCTGATTACCTGGGAAAGAAAAATTCTTAGATCAATAAATGTAGGAATATCAGGGGATAAATGTACTAAGAGATAGTCCGAGTATTTCTGGAGTGGAAAAAGGCTCTAATTGAATTCAGAAAAAACTATATTTTTTTCAAAGGAAAAAACTAGGACACTTACGAAGATGATTGTTTAATCAAATGTGCTTCCTTTATGAATATGTTCTCCAGTGAAAAAAAAATTAAAGCTTTTGGTTTGAAATAAAGGTGATGCACTTCTTTTTCTCCACTTTAAATTAATACTTATTTTTTTTAAAAAAACTTTTCTTTTACAAAGATAAGTTGTTTTTTTACATACATTTAAAATAAATATATATTTTTTTTAAAATTTAAAATATCAAAAGAGATTACACTTAACAAATTTAATATATTAGGAGGCTTTGCCTTATTTGTGGACGAAATACATAACAACTAAAATTGGGAATAGTACTTATAACTATCTATTAAGTTTTCTTTTTCTTTTTAAAAATTTTACTATAAATATTGAGATTTATAACTTATTAAATGGCAAGATCATGTTAGTCCAACTATTTTTGGAGTGAGAAAAGTTTTAATTGAATTCAGAAAAAAACTTTCTTGTAAATATATCTATATATATCTATATATTCTCAATTTTTCGAATGATAATAATAACTGGGACACTTACGAGGTTGATTGTTTAATTAAAGATGACATAAAATGTGCTTTCTTTACAAATATGCTCTCCAGAAAAACAACGAAAGCTTGGGGTTTGAAATAAAGCTATCTTCCCCCGTTAAATTAATACTTCTTTAAAAAAACTTTTCCTTTAAAAAAAAAAACTTTTCATTTACTAAAAATAAGTTTATTTTATTTTACAAACATTAAAAATAAATAATTTTTTTACATTTAAGATACCTAGAGAGATTACACTTAACAAATTTAATATACTGGGAATCTCCGCTTTCCAACCCTCATAATTGATTTTTATTTCTTAGACATCAATATTTTCCATAAAAACACAGAATATTTCGTTAACATGTAAATAAATGAGAATCAATTTTACTTGTCCTATAACTAAAATAGGAAACTCTGCATTGAATTTTATTTTTAAAAATGTCACTATAAATGTTAAGATTTATAATGGGCAACACACTACTCTAGCAAGAATTTTTAAATTAAAGATATTAAGATTTTGTGCAGGAAAATTTTTTTTTTTTTACAATAATGGATAAATAGTCGATATTTAAAGAAAAATAAGCTGAAAAAAAACTGACTTAAGTTTGCAATAGCTTTTGAACAAATGCGAATTTTTAAAAAGGCTGAGAATAAATCAAAGTATAAAATGGTACAACTAGCTAATTAAATTTTACCTCTGCAATTACGTTTTACAGATAGTAGATTGACGAACATGTGTTTTTTTTCTTCTTTTTTTTACTACAAGTTTAACAGTTAATAATACTTAAACTAACAATCAAATCACATATACCTAATTCCTTAGAACATTTTGTGTACTATTCTTCACACCTTCGTAATTTTAAGTTTCTAAGTCTTCTAGATGTTAGGCAACACAGTATAATTTAAGGTAAATCAACAACAAAAACATGGGCAGGGGGAGAGAAAGAATTTGCAAAAAAGGCACTTAAAATTTCAATGCTTTTTAATCAAATTGGAATTTTAGAAAAAAAAAACAAACTCTGTGTTAAATTCATGTACAAATGTGGCCCTTTCACCATGCCAAATTTCAACTCAGTAATTGAATTCTTAAGGACTTTAGAGGGGCCTGTATGGCATTTTTTACAAGTTTAACAGTTAATAATTCTTGAACAAATAATAAAATGTCAATTTTTTTATAGCATCATAATTCCTGAACACTCTTCTACATGCCTTAGTAATTTAAGTTTCTAAGTGTTATAGTTTTTGGGCAGCAAATCAAAATGTAACATTAAGTTAAAAACACAAAATAGCGGTGTTGGAGTAGGTGGTAGCTCCTACGATATTTTTCTTTTGTACATAGAGATGATTACCTGAATATTTATCAAACATAATTCAATGTGACACCTAAACTAAATTCTATTTGCACTTACGTAAGTGGCAGATGTGTATCTCCTGGTTGGGCAAGCGTAATAGTATAATCAGAAAGCGAGAGGGAAAATACAACATGATCATTCATTTGCCTTCACTAGAATTCTTTTTTTTAAAGTAATGTGTCTTTAAATTTTATATTCAGATACTTTTCCTTATCCAAACATATCCATTAACAACATATTCAAATCATTATCTGATTCAATCAATTTCATAGATGACATAAATAAATAAGATACGTCAAAATTAGACGTTAGGATAAATGAGATATTTAGACAACAGTATAAACTAAACCTTTAAAATTTGGAGAACTATAAAATTATGGCATGCTTGAATTAAAATCCTTGGTTTTTGTATTGATGGGAAAGGAACTTCAAGCATGAAAAATTATTATTTTATACTAGTAAAATATTGTTTAAACCAGAGGTTCCTGAACCTTTTAGTTTCGCAGACCCCTTGCCATGTTTTTCCATTTTGGATAGACCACCTGCTTTCCTGATATTGATTTTTTTGTAAATTCATCAACTTAATTTTGTAATGTATTTTTGATAGCTGGTACAGTGCTACTCACTGTGAAATATTTAAATTTCTAACTGTAGTGAAGTATATTGCGAAAAAAAACCATGTTATTTTATACATTTATTAATTAAATTCAATCTAATTTAATATATAAATGGAATAAAATAATTCCACTATATAACCCGTACTCCGCTACAAATATTATAATTGCGGAAATAAGCTTGTATACAAAACCATAGTAGTGTATTGTCGGTCTGCTTATTACGTTTTCACATAAAAAGTAGGCAGCAAATCTCCGTGATCTTGTGCGTAGATAAAATTGGCAGTCTAGCTAGCTAAAGAGTTAACACAGGTTAGACTAAAATTTACCACAAAAAAATACTTTTTTGTTACAAAATAAAATCTTACACGCAGAGAAAATAAAAACTTACGCAGGCAGGGCTGCAGGCAACTGCTACTTTATAATAATTCAGTTTCATACATCAAAAAATAATCCTAATAACTTAAATTTTCATAAAATTTTTACTTCATAGCTACTTTTGTAAATTATGTAGAATGTAGATAGATATATGCTTTTATATTATAAGGTAATATAATGTAAGCAATTAAGTACTATCAGTGTATGTTGATTATTCCATTCATGAAATGCCAAAATTGAAAGTCACTACCTGCCCATATGAGATCCACTATCGTTGACCCCCATTTTCATTTCATGAACCCCCAATTTTTTTCCACTCGACATGGACCCCTTGCAGATTGTCATCGAACCCTGGGGGTCGATATAGACCACTTTGAGAATCACTGGTTTAAATTATTAAATATTGTTCAAATTATTGTTCAGAATTTTAAGACATACAATTAAAAGAAAAATGTTTTCAATACCAATTTATCATTATGGATTTTAAGCTTAGATATGTTTATTTTCAAAATATTTTAAAAATCTACAGAAAACTAATAAAGACCGATTAAGGATTGCCACTCAAATCTGAACAAAAAATTCCCTGTTACATATTATAAACAATATATTAAGAGGGAATACACAATCACTATGCTCATGTATGATCTATAGTAGGATAACTATACAGATTTTAACTGTAGGAAAAACTCAGAAATAAGGAACAGTTCAACAAACTATTTAAAAAAAAATAATGCTATGCCAATGACTGCACAATTGCAGTCATTGGCAGAAAGCCAATGACTAGTTTGCTTTAGCAAGAATTTTAAATTGATAAAATTTTTAAAAAAATAATAAAAATTCTTAAATCACAGAAGAGTTTAAAAGATAATTCCCTGTAGAAATGATGTTTTTTCTTTCATTTTTTGAAAGAACACCATAATTTTTAAAAAACATGATAAAATAGTTTTATATTCTAATAAAATATGCCTGAGTGGTGATTTTGTTAGGAATTCAGATATTTGGAACAGGATGAAATTGGGTAGAGGGGATTGCATTTTAAAAATTAGATTTTTTGGAAGTGGTGCAATTGGCAAAACATGGTCTTGGAGCATATTTAATAAAAAGAATTAAAACAAGAACTTAATAATAAGAGTTTTTAGTTTTGTTCATTAATAACATATCTTAATTTTTACACTTTTTTGAAGGTCCCTGCATAAACAAATTAAGTTTCCTTTTGGTATCTTCCAATGCTGCTAAATATTCTGCTATCCTCAACTTAGCCTCAGATAAGAGGATCTGTCCACTTTCTATAATCGACATGTCTTTATTATTTAACCCACCTTTAATATTTTTTTCAGCTGTGGCTAAGAGATCTTGAGAAGCCTTCAATTTCTTTAGCAAATCAATTTCAGCAGCTTTGAATCTGCTTTCCTCAGTTTCAGTGTTTTCACATTCTTTTCGCTTTCTTTTTTCTCAACCTCTAATCAAGCAGAATAATTTTTAAATGCTGCACTGGTCCCTTTAATCATATCTTTGTCAACTTTAAAGTTATTTAAATTCCCAGCTGATATGTGACAACTTGTCTCAACTATTAACACTATGCAAATTTAAACTTACCCTATTGTCAAGTAGCTTTTTATTCACACATATGAACAAAACTAAAACCTCTTTCAACATCGTCATTCCCATGTGGTATGCACAAAAGAGCTTTAAAAAGCTTTGTTATAAGAGGATATTTGATATTTCCCAAATTATTTTTCTTCACAAAATAGTCCAAGTGCACCCAAAAACACATCAAATCACAAGTCACAAAATAGTTCCAAAACACACCAATTGGTGCATATTCATTTGAGTCAGAAGAATAACCTTCTGGTTCTCCACATAAGAGTAACAAAGATGCCTCTTCTGGATTTATAATGAATGGAGTTACTGTTGCCAGGTATCTTATTGACTTAATAGAAGTGTCTTCCATTCTCATTACAGGATGCAACACTTTAAGATGGTACAGTAACCTATTTTCAAGAGGCAATGCTTTTAAGAACATTTTTGCTCATGCCATAGACCTGGCACCTAAATACATAGAATTTTTTCTTGAAGAAGATAAGGATGTCATTCTATTTGTGATATCTAGTCCAACATCTATTAAATTTGAATTTTAGCAAATTTCTGTGTTTTCTACATCCAAAGATTTTAGTCTTTTCCATTCAAACTAAGAAAAGCAGAACTCTTTAAAAAAACGCCCTAACAATGCTTAAACAAGAGACACCATTTCATCATACAGCAAGTGAATCAATGGTGTCTCAGTTTGGAAAAAACCTAAAAATGTATTTAATATAGCCGAAATATTTCTTAAAAATGAGCTTTTGCCAAAACCAATTTAAATAAATTCAATATTGAGTGGCTCATACTATTTTTTAAATTAATAATTACTTTATTTAATTCTGTAAATGGTAATTAAAAACTCTAACTATTACTTAAGGTTATCGAGTGTACGTCATTCAGCTGATTCCTTTGGCGCTAAGCACCATGCCTGGTGCCACAAGATAAATATGAAAATGTATGTATGATATTAAAATGACATGAATAAGAATGGTGATATTAGCAGTTTCCGCGATATTAGTAGTCAAATATTCAAAATTCTGAAAATTGACATCTGAGATTGCCACAGAATATCATTGTATCTGTTTGTCAACAAAACAAATAAGAAAACGAAGTCTCTATAGCAATAAATTTATTTTAAAAATATATTATGCTGGAAGACATACTCTCATAGAGTGATAAATGAGTAATGAAAAGAAAGAATAAATATAAAATAATCGGCTTCAACAGAAGTTAAATACACTTCAAACAGATAACGTTGTGATCCACACAAGAACGACCAACAGAAACTGGCCAATCCCCGCAGACCAAGGTGTTACCAACGTAAGTTGATTGCACGAGATCGTCTTCTTGAAAGACTAAAATCGAACCTATAACCTTTGTTATGTAATCAATTAAAATATAGATAAAATCCCTTTTAGCATTTATTTATCTAACAAAAATTCTACGAACCAAAAAGGTAAAATTGCAGGAAGAATCACACGTAAGTACACCTCTTGTTAACATGATTTAACAAAAGTTTCAACATTTTGTCCGATTATAGGATTTTGATTTGCGAAAAATCAGAGAAAAAGTGGAATTCTGCACATTTGTGGAAAACTCAAAAATCCTGTTCTACTTTTTAGAGCTAGGAGAACAATACAAAAAACAAAAAAAAAAAACAAATAATCAAAGAATTTGATATCCTGATGATGACCCCTCAGGATATCAAGTCACATTTGATGAATCTCTCTTCCTTGAGATAGATTTTCACTAAAATGTGTGATAAAATTGCAATGTATTATTTTGTAAATGGAAAACAGTTCACTAGGCAGAAATTTTCAGAAAGTTGACAAAATGGTATGGAAATGCAATGAATCATAATGTTCATTTTAAAAACGGTGCAAAATGGTACATGCTTGAAAATCGTGCGTCATGTAGATGAAAAAAAAATGGAATAAAATTAGAAGTTATGAAATTGATTGCTCTAGTCATAAATCAATTGCAACTTATGAGCTCTCATTAATATCATATAAAATCAGGATAAATGTTTTGATTAAAATAATATTGCTAAATAAACTTTATTTAATACAGTACATTAAAAAACTCTTTTGATATTATAATTATACTTAAACAAAATGCACTGAATTATGTTGAAATTGAGAATGTTGAATGAAACATAAATTATATTGAATGAAAAACCTCTTTTCAGTTTTATAATCTGTAAAAAAAAACATCTTATTCACAGAAAAAAAATATCTGATCTGATTCATTTTAAACAGTCATGTGCAAGTTCTGTTTGGTGAATTCTACTAGTGTGGCAATAAAATACTAACTATAAATGAAAACTTACCAGGTTTATAACAATATAGATCTGGCCGATTCATGGATTTTTTATAGCATAAATGGATGCCTGAACCAAGCTATTAAAAAAAAAAAGAATTGTATTATTTTGTATTAGTTTAAGGATAAAAAATTACACTTTACGAAATAATATCTACACACAAATATGAGAGTTAGTTTATTGAAAGAAATCTAAATTCAAAAGAGAAAAAATGCCTCTTAGCATCAAATCTTCAATACTTCAAAAGTACTTTTATATATTAATACCATATATGTTTAAGCATTTAAATATAAAAAATCATATTTTCAGTCTAAATCAAAAGAGATTTTCAATAATAAAAAATCTCTGTCTCAATAACCTAAATAATAACTACTACAAGAGAGAACTAAATTATTCGGGATGTTCGTAACCATCGCTATTCAGAATATCTGAGTTTCCCGGTTTTCTGGATTGACCAAAAAGTATCGTTAATCGATGTTTTATTGAACCCAAAGACAAGGAAAAAGTGTAACACATTTTAAAGTAAGAGATAAAATAAAAGCTGTCCTAAATTTAAAAAGAAAAAAAAATTTCAAAGAATAAAAAAATTTGCAAGTTTAGACAAGAAAAACAAGTTCAAGAAATACAAAATTCTCATATTTATTCTTTTTAATCTATATAAATATAAACAAAATCAGTATAATATAATATATATAATATAAACAAAATTAATGATTAAAAAACGCAATATATTTCATACCTAATAATACGAGGGGGGGGGCGACAAAAATAAAAGGAAAACTTATTAATCTAATTAAAAACAACACTTGAAAATTATCAAAACGAAAAGTTAGTTAAAAAAGGCACTAACATAAATATTAAAACCTGGAACAAGGCAAGATCAATAAGATCAGAGGAATTTAAAAAATAACCTAATGATAAAATTTATGAATAAAAAGAATTAATTTATTGAGTACAAAATTTATCCTGAAAAGAAAGAAAAAACTCAAACGTAGTGGAACAAAAAAAAGAAAACTGCAATCTGCTTCATAAAATAATCGTATGTTTAAATTAATACACAATTCGCCTTTTATTTATTTTTTTTATAAAAACACCATTTTTAATGAAAGCAGATGTGATTCCACATCAAGAAAAACTTGCAAATGATACCGCACTTCTAAAGAATCAGAATGTATTCAAAAGAAAAATATTGTTTCGTTAATCTATCTTAAATAGATAAATAAATTTTTCCTTTTTATTTCTCTTTCATCTTCTGTTCACTGATATGCATGAGCAATGCATTTTCCCCACCCCCTCCTAATTCAAAGAGAAAACGAAATCAGCATACCACTCCTCAGAGTTTGATTGACGGCAGCTTATTAGAAGAACGATTCTGAGAAAATAAAATGTTCCTCACTTCCCTACCCCCTCTTGATCTAAAGATCTTCAAGGTCAGGGAAGAAATGACATTTCTCAGGGCAAACAGGGAGAAAAATCCCCCCCTTTCCCCACATTTTCCTCTACTCAACTTAAAGAATGAGCCAAATTTCCACTTTTTTTCATTATCGTTCTAGTTTAAAATGGCCGGATAACCTAGCAAAATTTTCTCCGGTTATCTGGATACCAGATAAACGGTTCTCTACTGTATCTACAATTTTAGTAAAAAACATGTTTTAAAAACATGCATTTCAAAAATGTTTGTAAAGAAAAAACTTGTTACTTGGGATGACGTTATTGTTTCCATGGTACTCTATATTTTGATATGTTTCTTATTATTTATAACACCTATGAAAATTGTTTCAATCTAAAAAGCGATGTTACACAAACAAATGAACAGAGATAAATTCGAGCAATTGTGAATTGTCTAAAAGCTGTGATTAATTTATTAAGAAAGAACAGCAAAATGTAAAATATACAGAATCATCCAGATTATAGCATATTTTTTTAAAAAAATCAAAAGCTGCATTTGGATTACCTTTTTACAAATTAAAAATATTAGAAAGTATTAAAAACAGATCACACATAAAAAATAGTAGAGTGAACAATTCATGCTTAACTCACAAGCTATTAAATAAATGTGCAATAAAAATTTAGTATTTTGTGTTACAGTTTATGTAAGTATTATTTAACACATATTTTATAGCTAAAAATAATAAATTGTTTACTATCTTAAAAGACCTAATACAGAATTCATATTTAACTTTAAACTGGATCTTTAAAACATATTGATGAAAATACTTAACAGAAAAAAGATATTCATTGATTTAAAATCATAGGATCTTAACTATTTTAATTGTAATATTGATATTTTTAAACAAAAATAAGGATAAGACATTTCATCAAAATGTTTAATTAAATTTCAATTAACAGCAAAATAAGAATTTAATCAACAAACCAAAGCAATCTGCAAAACGATCAAAGAATTTCACCTCTACATATTTTGTACAGCAGTTGAAACATTTTATTTGTAAATAGCGTTTTATTTTTAAACATAAATTATTTAAACAAATACTTCCACGAATTCAGAAGAAAAAAAATATCCCTACTTGTTAGATCAAATTTCTTAAAAATATAATGAGCATTTGAAAATGGTATTTACTATTATAATGGACTCTTTCTATCCAACAACAGCATAGAAGGAGAAAACATATGAAAAATAATTATAAATATAGAACTAATTGAATGTTTCAGTTTTATAACATGCATATTGTTTAAAATCAGCTATAAATTGTGCTGAGTACCAACATCACAGCTATACGTTGTGCTAACTGAGCAAGCAGGGTTAACACTCAAATCTGGAAGGAAAAACAAAATTCCCTGTGTTTTCTGTGTACATATTATACACAATATATTAAGAAGCAACACAACAATTACTGTGCTCTTGTGTGAGCTATTTTGGGCTATTACACTAGTGTTAATTGCTAAAAAACTTAAGAAAAAAAAAAGAACAGATGAACATACTTAAATAATGCTATAAGAAATTTAAATAGTTTAGTATAGCTAAAATATCATCCTTAAATATCTCATAGATCACTTTTGAGTGGTTGAAATTTTTCAAAAGACGAAAATAAGAAACAAAATTCCGAGTTTGAAAAAAAAAAAAAATACTGCATTTTCCCCATTAATTAAGGAAGTGGAAAAAAGAGAAATAAACTAAATAAAAAGATGACAAGTATGCTTTAGGGGGTCATGTCAGCTCAAGAAAGCAAATATTCTGAAAGGTAAGTTATGAAGATAATTTCAATCAGAAGTCACTAAAAAGTAATAACTTATTAAAAGTAGTAATTAACATATATCGTATAGTATTTCACACCATTGGAGAAAAAAGAGATACTTACCACTCCTTTATTTAAATTTCTGTTGATTTTACAAAATGCATGAGGTGGATTTTCATTCTAAAAAATAATTTAATTTTTAATAACAATGTTAACATACAAATTATGTACATAAATTTAATGTTAAACATACAAATTTAGGGGGGGAAATAAGAAATTTATCCTTTTACAACATTAATATTCTCATGGCATTAAAACATAAATAATTCAAATTTACTTCAATTTAAATTATGGAAATTCTGATAAAATGTACTAATTTCAATTTATAATTATATACACATTAATATTCACAACGTGGTTTCTCAGTATGTTTTTTTAATACAGGTTGAGTCTAAATGGTTTGGTGGATGGTTAAGAAATAAAGTAAAGCAACATAACTTAGGATGCAGGATTATATCCGTGGGGAATGGCTAAAAGCAAAGATTAGATTAGCCTAGAGTGGTTGACCTGCTTGTTCGAGAAATCTAACATAAAATTGAAATTAACAGTGAATAAATATGAAAACATTTATTGCTTAACAGCCTCAGAAAATGCAGATTATGCAATCTTGGTCCAGGTGCACCAAAATGATGTCTAATAAAAGAAAAATTGTTTTTAATTGATTTAAATGTTTACAGGAAGGGAAATAAACCACACTAGGATTATGACAAAGGAAATTCGATTTGGCAATAAACTTGTGTGGCATACCATTATATATAAAGTATATGTGACAATCATTAATATCAAGCATTAGCGACTGATGCTGGTGAACGACTGCCTATGAGAAGATTCAGAATTAAAAATGGCAGTTCATTTACAAAGATTTTGGTAAGCAAAGGATCTGTCCCAATTTTATCCAACACAAGGAAAGAGGTGTGGCATCAGTGCCTCAATCAAACCAAAAAGAGGTACACGCAGACCCATTATAGCAACTTAATCAAAGATTTTATTTTAAATTTATAACCGTTGACGAATAGCCAACCCAATTTTTAGGTTTACGGCTACTAATATTCAACTAAGTATCATTGTAATTTTGAACCCAATCCAGCAGACAAGGGGACCAGGATTGGGAGAAATTTGCCATCGTGGAGGACTTTTAGATTAATTACACGCATTTGCGTTACATGGTCAGGAAAGCCATCAAAACCTCCCATGGTTAGCCTGACGGGAAAGGGACTCTAACCCATGATCTGGCTACGACTGAGGATATTTTACGTCGGCACTATGGTTGGTGCGAGCCGGGCGCAGAATTCGCATTGACCAGCTGTTGCTGAGATTCGAATATGGTTCACTGATTGGAAGGCGAACACTCTATCCCCTGAGCCACCATGACTCTTAATCAAAGACTACCATAAGTGCTGAGTGGGTAATTGGTGTTGCTTTTTAAGGTTGCTTGTTATTTTGTTTTCATGTTTCTTTTACTAGCTTAATGCCTTCATTCATCTAACTTTGTAGGCATTCCTTGTAGATTACTTACACTTTGATAAAAACAAAATCATATGCAATTTCACTATATTCTCACCGTTTAAGAGATATTTTTAATAATTCAACAATACTACTGAAAAATTTTAAATAAAAAGTAAAAGAAATATAATTGGATGATATTAGTGGGAGAGAATAATAAAATAGATATATTAAATCTATTAAAAGACATAATTTTTAATTTATTGGATTTCGAAAAAGGTTCAAGTATACCCTTTCGACAGAATTCACCTCTATTAGCATGCACTTTCAATTTTCTATGCAGAAGTCATTATTAACTCAACCTAATACCAAAGAAAATGCTAGATAGATAAATACATCAAATCTTCATTGTTATTATTCATGAAAGAAAATTATGGCAATAGTACAAAAATAGTCACTGGCCTAATAACAAAAAGATTTCTAAAGTATGTACATATTTTCAGATTCACTCACATGCATCTATTAAATTAAAAATAGATAAATAAAAATTAAAAATACACCATCTAACACTTATTCATTTATTGAATAAAATAAATTTAATAAACTACATAGGCACATTTTATAAACTAATATTAAAAACTGCAAATGAGGCAATGAAATTTAGCATTATATAAAGCAAAATTTTATAATTATAAAAAATTTAATAAGCAGGTTAAAAATTAAACATTTACTCTAGATCATTATATTAAATATTAATCAAAAAAAAGTTATTAAAGTGAATTTAGATTATTAACTAAAGAGAATATATAACATTCACAATCATGAATAAGTATGTTATTTTATGAGAGCGACACAGTAAAAAAACAACAAACTAAATTAGTATACCATCCCGTTACAGTCTATTGACTGCAATGGTCAGCTGGTCAAGCAATAATTTTTTAACTAGTAAATGTTTTTTTTTAAAAACTCACCCCCCCCCAAGAAATACAAAAAAGCCAAACTTTAAGTGTCTCACACTTGAAGAAAATCTATAATTTTAAACTACATGTGACATCTTGCTTTGAAAAATTAAAAAGGCTCTAGAACAAACAAATAACTTGAATATTTGGCATACTTTTTAAAAATTGCCAATTTAGCGACATTTTTTCACCCATATTAAAATCATCCAAACAAATGCCTTACTCTCATATTTTGCAAATTTTTATGAGCTAAGGTAATTGGAGTTTTTAAATGTTAAAAAATTAGAGCATAAATACTTCTCATTTTCCCAAAACTATGGCTTTTCTCCATATTGATGTTTTCTGTTATATTCAGAATAAGCATAGATGGAGCTGGCTAAAGATAGGTCAAACTTAACCTAACAGTCATGAATAACTGTTGAATACTCACAACAGCAATTTAAAACAAATTTAAAAAAAATAATAAAGAAATTTCTATTTGCAAAAAAAAAAAAAAAAAAAAAAAAAAAAAAAAAAAANAAAAAAAAAAAAAAAAGAATCATTTCATGTGAATGAGCTTTTAAAAATGCAGCCTTAATGTTAGTTTGGAGCAGATTTTAGAGGTCTGAACAAACAAACCACCAATATTTTAAAGACCTTGCATGGCGTTACCTTCTAAACTTTTTAGAATAAATCTGCAGGAAAAAAAAACTTTTTCACACAATAAAAAGCAATTTTTAACAAATTTTTAGCTATGTGTTTAAACTGATATTGGAAGCTCAATAAAAGGAGACAATAGAAGAAGCAAAGATAAATTACCTTATTTGCTAATATGATACACATATCAGTAACAACTAGTTGATTGCAGGGAGCATTTTCAGGTGCCCTCCGATATGTAATAAAAGTTTTTGATCACATTCGCTAAATGACCACCTGCTGCATTTAGGACCACTTCACTGCCAGCCATGACTTTCTCCTTTCCTTCATAAAGTACCCTGGAATAATATTTAATCAAATTAATACAATACACAATCAATAAACAATAAAGTAAACAAAATGCAATCGTTATTATTATTTTTTTAGAAATTAATAAAATAGATACTTTGTGAAAAAACAACTGCCCATTATTTTAATTTCCGTAGGTACCACTTTGAACTTTTGCTTCAACACATACCATCAAAATGCACTCAGCACATCATCAAAATGCACTCAGCAAACTGCCAAGCTAAATTGACAAAACTTTGTTAAATTGGTCCCTTTAAAACAAGTTGTTGGTTTTAATAGGGAATTTATTTAGTTTCACTTATGAGAATAAACTGGTTTTCTGTTAGTTACTTATTTTAAGCAATAAAAGAGACAGCAAATTAAAAAGGCAATTCAAACAAATATTAATACATACTGATTTAAGGAATACATCGAGACCTAACGTTTTGTTCATGTAAGGAGTAATTCATGATATCAGGGTGAAAAACAAAGAATAAAAAATTTCAGAACTTGCAGCTCAATTAATCAACAACACAATCCAATACATCAGCAGTTTCACACAACTTTTTTTCAACCTTTTAACTTTTAAGTTATTTTGATGATTTGGGTACATAAATTATAAATTTTTTTTTCATTGCAAAAATCAAATGTTTAGAACAAAATCAAATATGTTCACGCCTTGCCTTGTTACTTAATAGATGGCGCTATTAATATACATATACATTTTTACTTCTCTTCTTTTTTAATAAATACAGTCCATGTCGTCGTGAAGTGTGGTGCTTTTGTTTCTTGTGTAGAGATTTTCTTGTGTGTGTATAAAACATTTGGTCCGACATGAGCTCGGAGGTGTTAGTCAGTGATTAGGGAATGTATTTTGTGAATTTAAAATTGTGATAGAGGTCAGTGAAGTGTCTCTTTAAAAATAAAATAAAAATCGTGATTTCACATGTGTGTTGCGTAGGGAGTTATAAATTATGGCTTATTAATTAGATTCTCAAAAGGTAGTGGTGTTAGTTTGTTGTGATTTTCAGGGTAAGTGGAATTTCGATTAGTTGTAATTTGAGAATTGTGTTGCTTGTTTTATTGAATTGAACTGGTTTAGCTTTCGTTTCTGCCTAGTTTGGTTTATATCTTTTTTGTTTTATTCGATTGTGTTTTTTGTTTCTTTTTGGTCTGCGTTGAGTGTTTTTGATATGTATTGCCTTAGTAGAGTTGCTTTCGTTTTGTGTGTTGTTTACATTGTTAAGTAATTTCGTTTAGTAATTGCCTTCGATTTGGGTGTGGAGTTCAAGTGATAGCATTTCTAATTTAAAAGTGTTGTTTTAGCAGTGAGGGGTATTAAAATGGCACTTAAGTTGAATTTTAAAAAAGATGAGTTGATTATGATTGCTCAGGAATTAGGTTTAATAATTCCAGATAATCCTAAAATAGTAGATTTAAAGCTCTTAATTGAAAATAGTGATATAGTTAAAACTGATATTGAGTTTGTGCGTGATCTAATTGGGCATGTTTTAGAGGAAAAAAAGGAAAGGTTAGAAAAAGCTAAACAAGAATCGGAACAGGAAATAGAGTTAGAAAGATTAAAGTTAGCTCAATTAGAAAAACAGTTAGAGTTGGCAAAAATTAGTGGTAACCTAGCTAATGCACCTCAGACTACAGTGAATGGCGAAACAGATTCAGATAGTTTGGAAAGTTTAATCAAAAGTGTTAAGGTTTTAACAATTTCAGTGCTGGCTAAGTCAGAATCGTTTAATTTATTTTTCAATTTGTTAGAAAAAGCATTCGAAAATAAATCAGTGCCTAATAAATATAAAGCCGAAATTCTGTTAAATCTTTTAGGAGATAGAGTTAATAATTTATTAGTGTATGTTAGTCAGGGAGATTTGTGTGATTACGAAAAGTTAAAAAATTTGGTTTTAAAAGAATTTGAACCTACTCCCCAAGAATGCCTGAATAATTTTAAAAGGGCTAGAAAATTACCGTCTGAAAGTTATGTCCAGTTTGCTTCTAGACTATGTGCATCCTTTGACTATTACTGCCAAATACGTAAAGTTACGGATTTTAAATCTTTATGCGATCTTATTGTTTCTGATAAAATTTTCGAAACCCTTGATCGGGAATTAATGACTCACATTGGGATTAAGCAAGGTGAAACCTTTTTCTTACCTCACCAACTTGGACGTGAATGTGATATTTACTTATCATCGAGAGGTAAAGGTACAAATGAGTTAATCAATCGGAATAGTGCTGGTGAAATAAAACGCGTGGGAGGAAATAAATTTCAGAAGTATTCCCCTTTGCGTGCTGACAAAAATATATCTAAAGTGTTTGTTGCGGAGACTAATAATTCGAAGTGTGTTCTGTGCAGAAATATACATCCCCTCGCTACCTGCCCCCAATTTAAGACTATGTCAGTATATGAGAGAATTGAGGTATTGAAAGGGAATAATCTTTGTTTTCGTTGTTTCGCACCCCACAGGTTAAGTGAATGCCCTTCAAAGAAAAACTGTTTCTGCTCTAAGCCTCATCATACGATGATTCATTTCCCGCGTGAATATTTTAATCATCCCACTTCTCAATTCAAATTAGATGCCCCAGCTTTCGTTCCAAGGAAGAAAGAGGAAACTTCGGAAGTGACATCGCAACCGCAAATTGTAGCGACTAGCCTTGAGAAAAACAAACCTAAAAACGTACTTCTGAGTACAGTTCGCGCACATGTTAAAAATAAATTTTCTGAGTGGATTGAAGTTAGATGTTTGCTGGATGTTGGGTCTCAATCATGTTTGTGTACTAAGGCGTGCGCGCAGAGGTTGCAATTAAAATTGGAGAAAATAAATACCGTGGTTTCGTGTGTTAATGATGCAACTATGGTAGTGAACAATTGTGTTAGAACTTTAGTGGCAAATAAGGATAAGAGTTTTGTTAGAGAATTATCGATGCTAGTGGTTGACAAAATTACTGATCTCATTCCAAATAGAATAATTGATGTGGATGGTAGTGTTTCAGAGTTCGTGTCATTAGCTGATAATAATTTCAACAAACCTGAGAAAATTGATATGTTATTAGGTGCGGAGGTGTTTTACGAATTGTTGAGGCCAGAACGATTTTATGCTCAAAATTCCAAATTGTTGTTGCAAAATACTGTGTTTGGTTTTGTCGTGAGTGGCAGCGTTGATCAGGTAGAAGATGTTGGTCATGTTCATTGTGGGTTGATTCTTGACGATGACTTGAATAAAACTTTAAAACGATTTTGGGAAATTGAAAATGTCGAAGTAGAAATTGCAAAGGATACAGAGGCGTCTTTTTGTGAGGATCATTTTGTAAGCACCCATAGAAGAAATGCCGATGGTAGATATGTAGTTGCAATGCCCTTGAGTAAGGATCCGTCGTGTCTTGGACAGTCTAAGAACATAGCTTTGAGGCAACTTAATTGTTTGTGGAAGCGTTTGTCTAGGGACTCAGAGTATTTGTCGTTATATACGGATTTCTTGCGTGAGTATGAGGAACTGGACCATTTGGAAAAGGTGATTGAAGAAAGTGAGCCGCCCACACATTACTACATACCACACCATGGAATATTACGCCCTGATAAATTGACTACTAAGATGAGAGTCGTCTTCAATGCTTCATCTCCTACTACAACAGGCCTAAGTTTGAATGACATTTTAATGAAAGGTGAAGTAAAGGAAGATGTGTTTGAAACAATTTCTCGTTTTAGAAGGCACAAATATGCCTTTACTACGGACATAAAAAAGATGTATAGACAAATCTTGATAGATCCGGATCAAAGAGACCTTCAGAGAATAGTGTGGAAGCCTGGACTCGATGCTGAAGTTTCAGTTTACAGATTGAAAACAGTAACTTACGGAATGTCCAATGCCCCCTTCCTCTTGCAATAAGAACTCTGCAACAACTGGCCGAAGATGAAAAATATAGATATCCTTTGGCTTTGGAAGCTCTTCTGCATGACACCTACATGCAGATCTGCCAACCTTAGAAAATAAAAAAGCAGGAGACTCTTTCTGTATCACGAGCAATATTGAAAATTAAACCTGATTCACACTTCCTACAAGAAGTTTATTTCAAAATATATTATTTACATTACATAAAATAGACCACAGTAAGATTCTGACACTGACTAATAAAGATACGTGTTCTTACTATAAAATATAAGGTTCTATAGAATATTCTTTTCAAATTTAGGAATAAGTTCAAAACTAACAAAATATGTCAATAATGAATACAATACTTTATAAATGTATTTCTTAATTTTTTATTAACTGCTACTGTTTTAAAACTGCAGATGCTGCTGATTTAGCATTATTTTAAAAAAAAAACCTGGCATCTATAGAAAGTGAAAAAACATTTTGCCTAATGGTGTCCAAGCTATCTCCGATTTTGCCATTTCCATGGTTATTGCTGCTGTTTTGGTTCACACTCACCATAACTTTTAGTGATGTTGCTATGGGGCAAAATTTTTCTAAATAAATGCCCAGCATGATCTGAAGCACAAGTTGGGAAGGAAATTGCACAAATTGTTGTTTTTTTCCTCTATCTTGCACTAAAGAAAAAAGCAGGAGAAAAAACCCTGAAGGCCTGAGGGCGAAGATTTGAGGCAAAAGCAGGAGACTCGTGCTAAAAGTAGGAGAGTTGGCAAGTCTGTACATGGATGATGTTGTAAGCGGAGCCCAGAATCTAGAAACTGCCCGTCAATTACAACTCCAATTGCGAGATTCTCTGCAGTCATGCGGAATGAAACTTCACAAGTGGTCTTCGAATTCTAATCAGTTGTGGAATAGTTCAGCTTCATCTGATGTCGAGCACTCATTTTCTATCGATAATGACTTATCAGTTAAAGCGCTGGGCATCAGCTGGAAGCCATTCGAAGATAAGTTTGTTTATAAGGTCTCAACAGCAGTAAAATCATCGTACACTAAGCGCAAAGTTCTCAGCGTGATAGCTAAATTATACAACCATCTTGGTTTTTTAGCACCAGTCTTGACAAGAGCTAAAATCCTATTACAGCGATTGTGGCAACAAAAACTAGATTGGGATGAAGTTCTGCCAAATCCAATCAGCGATGATTGGAATGACTTTGTGACAACACTAAAGTGCATCGAGGATGTGAAAATTGATAGATTCATTCTATCGGACAAATTTCAACAAATTGTCCTTCAGGGATTTGCAGATGCATCTGAAGCAGCCTATGGAGCTGTAGTTTATCTTCAATGTTTCACTTCAACACATAGTGCTAAAGTGACTATTATCGCAAGCAAATCACGTGTATCACCAATTCGAGTGATTTCGATTCCCCGTCTTGAACTGTGTGCCTGAGTTCTTTTAGCCCAGCTTGTGCAAAAATTACGTGCATCTTTACGATTAGAAATTAGTGAAACGGTACTTCATACTGATTCTACGATTGCATTAGCGTGGTTGAATACACCTGCGAACCACCTGAAGACATTTATCGCTAATCGTGTGTCCAAGGTTCAAACCTTGACAGAAAACTGTCACTGGGCCCACGTGCCGTCATCTCTTAATCCTGCCGACCTTGTTTCCCGTGGGTTAAGCCCTCGTGATATTCACTATCAAAAAATTTGGTGGAATGGCCCACCATTTCTGGAACAAGGTGAGTTATTCAATGAGCAAACAAGCTCACCCATGACGAACGAATATGACTACTCTTGTGAACTAAAGACAGGTGTTGATTCTGATACTCCAGTTTTTAATGTTTGTATTTCAACTAACTATAAGTTATCTCTTTTATATGATTTATTAAGTGTAAGTAATAACTATGTGAAAATTCTTCGTATATTTAGTTATGTGTTAAGATTTGTAATTAATGTTAAGCAATCTAATTTAAAGGAATCTGGACCTCTTAGTGTTTCAGAGTTAGACCAAACTGAAAAGAGACTGATCAGAATGGTCCAAGAAGAGGTGTTTTTAAATGATATTCAAGGTTTAAAACAACAGAAGGTTGTTCCCCCTAAGAGCAAATTAAAAAATCTAAATCCCTTCCTTGATAGTGATAGAATATTGAGAGTAGATGGACGACTGGGTAATTCAGATTTACCTTATGATGCTAAATATCCTGCAATTTTACCCCATAAACATAAATTGACAAATCTAATAATAGTGCATTGTCCCATTAAAAATCTTCATACTGGGGCTTCTTCCCTTCTGCACTTAGTTAGAGAAAGGTTTTGGCCTTTGGGTGGTCGCTCTCTGTGCAGAAAATTAGTGTGCGAGTGTATTGTTTGCTTTAAAGCAAAACCAATTGCGATGACTCAACTAATGGGTAGTCTTCCCATAGACAGAGTAGTTCCAAATTTTCCCTTTAATTTCTCTGGAGTTGATTTCTGTGGTCCTTTTATGATCAAATATCGAAATCAGAGAAAAGGTGTGCTCCATAAAATGTATTTATGTATATTTGTCTGTTTTGTAACAAAGGCTCTTCATATAGAGATGGTATCGGATCTAACTTCGGAGGCTCTTATTGCCACTCTTAAAAGGTTTTTTGCTCGCCGTGGTAAGAGTTCTAAATTGTATTCCGATAACGGTAAAAATTTTGTTGGCGCAAATAGGGAAATTAATAAGCTTTTGAGATTAGTTAAGCAGCCAGAAGAAGAGATCTCTGCCTTTTTGTCTAGTGAAGATATTGAATGGAAATTCATTCCGCCGAGAGCGCCTTCTTTTGGTGGCTTGTGGGAGGCTGCCGTAAAGTCTGTAAAATACCATCTTAAGAGAGTTGTTGGCAAAGAATTTTTGACCTATGAAGAGTTTTTAGCTGTCTGTATTCAAATCGGGGGAATTTTAAACTCCCGGCCCTTGTGCCCTTTATCGAGCAGTGTGGACGATTTAAATGCTCTTACACCAGCTCATTTTCTGATAGGCAGATCCATGAACTCGATTGTTGAACCCAACCTAATCATGTCAAAGGAAGGTACACTCAGGAGATGGCAAAACGTGACAAAATTAGTACAGCTTATTTGGAATAAGTGGTACAGAGGATATTTAAGTGATTTACAACAACGTAATAAGTGGCAGTTCAAAAAGTGTAATATTAAAATTGGTGATTTAGTGATCCTCATCGAAGATAATATGCCTACCTTTAAATGGCCTTTGGGTAGAATCGTAGAGATATTTAGTGGTACTGATAATTTAATCAGGGTCGTCATGGTTAAAACTCAACATGGAGAGTACAAGCGAGCCATCTCACGAGTGTGTCTTCTTCCTATGCCAAATAATGCTTATTTTATTGTGAAATATATATTTTTTCAATTTTATTTTGATTGTTGTTGAATGTTAATAACATGTCAACGGGGGGTGAATGTTCATGTCTTGCCTTGTTACTTAATAGATGGCGCTATTAATATACATATATATTTTTACTTCTCTTCTTTTTTAATAAATACAGTCCATGTCGTCGTGAAGTGTGGTGCTTTTGCTTCTTGTGTAGAGATTTTCTTGTGTGTGTATAAAACAAAATATACTTAGTAGTTAAAAATTAATACATTGAATTACATGCAAAAATAAATCATCTCTCTAATGTTTCAAAGAACTAGATGCCATTTTACAGAAAAAAACAAGAAAAAAAACCTTTGAAACCTTCAGTAAAGTGCAGCCATCTATTGTTCCAAATTAACTTTCCCTACATAGAATCGGGTTTAACAAAGAGATGAAGTCGAAATAAACTTCGCACAATATATATTCGGGTATAACAATATGATGCATTAAAATAAAAATATATTACCCTGAGTAATACTCGGGCGTGACAATTTGAAACACCAGTTCTGTGGCCAAGATTATTTCGGGCATGACAGTTGAAAGGTTAAAGCAACTTTCCTTAATTGATTTTTACAAAACTAAGTTCCCCCCCTCTCTCATCTCAATAAAAGAGTGCCAAAACAGCTTTTAGTTGCCAGTACGAACCCTACTTTAAATTGCTGTTTTAGTAAAACATAAAAATTATTTTAAATAACTTAATATAATAGCTAATTAATGAAACTAAGATTGTGTACTAAACAACAATTAGAACTAAACAAATTGTTATTAAAACCTAAAATTATCATTTTAAATTAGATATTCCAAATAATAGCATTTTAATTAAGGTAGGGGTCAATATTATCAGTCGACAAGAAAGATCGCAAGGAAAGCTGCTCCAAAACTACTGTGAAACAAGTTTTGAATGACCAGAGATAAAGATTCGTGATATATGAATGATGTGCACTTTTCCTTGATTGAGGTAGGTGGCAGGCAATGTTACAGGTTAATAAGAATGCTCTAATTTAATTAGTTTAAGGTTTCGGCCGTGATCTTTGTTGTCATTCCCTGGGAAGGATAGCTACGAAGTCTTTTTCTTTTTATACCGCCAGATGGCGTTCTTTTTAAATTTGTATGTGTTTGTTTGCTTTTTGTTAATAAACTTTTACTTTCTGTCTGAATCTCGATCCACGGACTACAGTTGGCAGCACGGCTGTGGTTTTGAAAATTATGACGCAGTAAAAAGTTTCACTTAGTTTCGCCGTGATTTACATTGTTTAGATTCCAAAATCAAAATGAACAGGGATCTGCCGAGTATCCCACTGCTGAACAGTGATAACTTCTATCAGTGGAGTATTAAAGTCAAAGCTTTGCTGACACTTAAGAAAATTGCTAATGTGCTAACTGAAGAAGCCCCCGTTGATCCAAAATTGCAGGAACAATGGACATTAAACAATGATGACGCAGTTGCATACATACAACTATCGCTTTCTGATGACCAAAGTCTTCAGTTCGCAAACGAAACTAACGCAAAAATTCTATGGGAAAAAATTCAAATCACATTTACTGGTAAAACAGAAGATCGAAAAATCGATGCAAGTAACGAAATAAAAAATCTTGAAATGAAAGAAAATGAAAATGTGTCAGACTATATTGCAAGATCACGAGGACTTAAAACGAAATGTTCATCACTTGGACTGCAAATTTCAGAACGAGAACTTGTTTATTATACTGTTAGAGGATTAAGAGGAAAATTTGCAAAAATAAGAGAGATCTTGAAAACCCAACGCGAAAAAAAAATGGAGGAAATTTTAGAAATACTGCGGGAAGAAGAAAACATCTTATCAAAATTAAGAAGTGATATTCCCAGACGAACAGAAGCATTCAGAGTAAAACATAAAAATGAAAATAGAAGCAAGAAGAAATGTTTCATCTGCCACAAAACGAATCACCTAGCTAAAGACTGCTATTTTCCGAAACAAGAACGAGGGAAATCAAAACCAAACATCTAAAGAAAAAAGAACATTTTCGAACTATAAATCGGGTATGAACAAAATCAAAAACAATAACGCTCATTGTGCATTTGAAAATCAAGATAAACATTCTAGTGAAAATTTCGCTCTTACCGCAGAACAAGAACAACACCAAATAAACTCTAGTACTACCGGTAAAAACGAAACTGTTTTTATTTTGGATTCTGGTGCTACTTCACACATGGTAAAAGATTTAAACTTTTTTGAAAACTTAAATCATGTTAATGGGATAATACAATTAGCAGGTAAGAAATTAAATTTAATTTCTAAAGGAATTGGCATTG